TACTTAAACTAGAAGTATAAAGATATTGATCTACCTGTCTACAAGGACTTATTTATGCAATCTATAATAATTTAAACCTTCTATAATATCACTGTTATATATAATATCTGCACTTAATAATTGGGTTTCTTTCTGAAAATTTCTAATTTAATTTTGTACTTGTATATGAATTTTCACAGGGTTTTATATTTAATTTAGCTTCAATAGGTTATAATAACAAATTTTTAAATTTGTCAGCCTGATTCAAATTATTGATCTTGTCTGTAAGGGTTTGGAAGCTTAACAATAAACTACAGGTCCAAACTCTAAAGAATTAAATTTGTAGTACTAAAATTTTAATATATTAATAGTTATAACAAATTTAATGATTATAGAACATAAATTTTACATTTTTATTAGACAAAATTAGCACTAAGCTAAGTCAAAATTTTAACTTTAAAAGATTTATATAACAAGAATTGTTTACTCTGCTATATTTTATAAAAACTCTTTATAGTTGTTTATAAGGCTATATACTTCTAAATATAAATCTTGTATTATATTACTAGAAGATATATTCTAATTCATTTTGACTATACTGACAACTAAATTATTTTAAATTTTGGAGTATAAAAGTAAAATTTGAAGACAAAATTATTTTAATCTATTTTACTTAAAAGACAAAATTTTTTGATATTTTTTTTAAAAAGATGAAATTATAAAGAATATAACTACTTAAATTAAATTTGTTTTGCATATAAAAAATTTCAAATTGTTCTAATAGAGATAAAATAGGGTTTTTTTAAAAACCTATTTCGGTGACATATATAATCTTAACTTCTAATTTGAACTCTTATCTATTAATTAGTATTATATTATTATTAATGTATTTAACTTTTTTGTTATAGGATTTGGGCTCTGTAGCTTATTGGTTAAGCTCCCAAACCCCCACAGACAAAGTTAACAGTTCGAGTTAGGCTGGCAGCAAATTTTAAATTTGTTACTGTAATCTTAAAGAGCCAAATCAAATGCAAAGCCCTGTGGAAGTCTATATACAAGTACAAAATTAGATTAGAAATTCTCAGAAGGAGACCTAATTATAAAGTGTAGGCACTATGTATAGCAATGGTATTACAAAAGGTTCAGTTACTAAAGATCGCATATATAAGTCCTTGTATGCAGGCAGTACCAACATCCTTGTACTTTCAGTTTAAGCAGCACCAATATCCTTACACCCAACTTGTGGGGAACTTGCTTGGGAGGGTAATCAGCAGATTGCATACATTAGTTCTAAACTGGTATTACAGTACTGGATTTGATTAGGAGGGTGATACAACAATAACTAAAACTAGAATAGTGAGAGAAGCGGTAAATATAAAACCGGTTTGTGGTAAAGAATTGGCCTTATCAAATTTGGAAGCATTTCTGGCACCTGCTTAGAAGACTAGAATTAGAAGGTTCTAAATATAGAGAGATGGTGCTTATTTAGGAAACACGTAAAATATTCGAAATAGCTAGGAGACACTAGGCTGGTAATACTTATATATGAACAGATATAACAGTATTGCAAGGGCACACCAACTTTAAAATATCAACCAAGTTGAAATATTCAAGTTGGAAGTAATCAAGTATTACAAAATCACGTTAGAAGTAACTTTGGGAATAAGTTATGCAACATAGCCTATACCTTACCAACTTATAGGAGTTTCTGTTTAAAAAATAAGTACACAGCATAAAAGTACAAATAAACGATTATAAGAGCTGTGAAGGCTAGTACCTTAAAGAAAAAAAGAAAAGTTTAGAAGGTGTGTTAGTAGATAAAGGCAAAAGATATGAGATTTGAGATGTTGAACCCAGTATCTGAAGGGAACGCTGACCAACGTCTATCACCAAATTAGAAAGTAACCTGATTATAAGGCATTAGTTGTAATACCTATTTGAAAGTATATTTGTAGCTATGTGAGTAATGTGGTGAATATATATAGAATGCTAATAAAAAAGGTCAGAAAAGCAAAAATCCTGGTTAGGTTTAAACAGATAATACCCATTGGGTAAAGCTTAGGTCACAGATAAAGTAGTCTGAATTCTTTGTATTTAAAGTTGCTTAATTGTACTACATCATAATGTATCTATAATTAGTAAAACTAATAAAGTTACAGAGAGTAAGACCTCGCTTTCAAAAAAAAAAAAAATAACTTTTTTGTTATAAAATTTTATATAGATGTGACTAGAGCTCTAACTTGATATCTTTAAATATACTAAATTAGCTAGCCTGCCTCTATAAAATTACTTTCTTTAGCTAATTATTTTATGGTATTAAAGATGCCAGGGTAGCCACAGAGCTACCCCTGACTTTATTACATTAACAAGGATACATTTTAGCCATATCTGCACCTTTTAAATGCCTAATTAAATAGAGTTTGCATATTATTATGTTCTACACTAGATGCTATATCTGCAGCTTACTATTACTTAAGCTATCCAATTAAACTCTTTGATCAACTTAGTGCTGTCAGATATTCTTTTCAAAGAGGAACTGTCACTAAGGCCTTTAGGACTACTTTATCCTCATGATAAACCTACTAAAGCAGTCTATATTTTACACATATATTACCTAAATTTTTGATAACTTACGCCTAGGCCAAGCCAAGTACTTACAGTATTTCTCTGCTATTGTTACTTATTCCTTGCCTTTGCAAAGTTCACCCAAACCTCAGCACACATTTTACAGACTAATACTGACTTTTCTTTACTAACAGTGCCCTAAACTTCCAAACCAAATAGCTCAGAGAAAGACCAGTAGGTGTTCTTTTAATATTTCAATTAAATTTTTTTTCTCATTTATACAAGGCCATCTCTGTATATTTGCAGTCTGTTTGGTATTAGTATCTTGCTAAACACCTGGTTCTCATCCAGTTCTGATTATTAATAATCATCTTTTATATAGTAGTGTCAAAGATCTGTTCTACATCTCTACTCAGAACTTGCCAAGCGAAATTTTGTATACCCCAGCCTTTGGATTTATACAAACATATTATTTGAGTTTTGTGTAACTCTTATATTATACTATAGTTTTACGTTCTTCCAGTACAAGTTTGTATGACTAAAGCTACAGATCTGATGATCTATTAAATTATACATAGTCTGCCATAATATATTCCTTAAATTTGAATTTTGTTGCTAGTGGGATTCAAATTCTTGTCCTACTATTTGGGAATATGACAACTTACCAACTACACTAAATCATCATATCTATATGTTCTTATATATTATTATATTTATCATTTAATACTGTAATAGAAATATCTACTCAAATACATTCTCTAATTTAATAATTATAAAGTTAATATATTTTTTACTTAGAAATTAGCTGAAATGTTCTGTTAATTTGATAAATTAAGCATGTCAAAATCTATCTTCACTTATTAATGATGTAAAAAACTCTGTACTGATTTTATAAATTCTTGTAATAGTTAAATAGCTTTTTTATTTCTTGATTGTATTATTAGATCTATTACTTGTATTATAAAATAGATAAAATTATTTTTAACATATTTTTTATTTTTCTAATTAATATTTTTATTCTCTTATAAAAAATTCTCTATAAATTATACTATAGAAATATATAGTAATCAGTCTAGTCAATAATTTGATCATAATTTCTAAACATAAATGCTCTTCAAAGATCAAATAACTTCTATTTAGATTAAATTTACATTATTCATTAAAAATATTAAAATATATACATATTAACTAAGTATTCATTTTCTTTTTTTTTATGTTTAATAATTTGTACTTACTCAATAATAGATTTTGCAGGTATAAAATCATAAGTATCTAAAAACTTTATCAATAGACAACTATATTTATATAAATGATTATTATTTTTATATCGAAAGTTATACTATTGCATAAGTGCAAGATTAAATAATATAGAGTAATTTTTAATAATAATAGTAATCAAGATTAAAATCTGAAATAAATAAATATTATTAATATAATAAAAATTCTAAAATAACAAAAAAAATATTATTAGTAAACCTTGTAAAAACAAGTTCTATTGGTAATTCTAAACTCTTCACTTTCATCTATACTAATTGATATATCACTAAATAATAGTTCATTATAATAATTGCTTATTGCTCTAATATAGTCTTTACTAGCTGCTATATTAATGTAATTATACCATTTAATAATAGTATTACCTGTTATCATATCTTCAGTTAAATCCTCATACAAGTCAAAGAATTTATTTAATGATGAAAAAAAATGTTTGAAAGCTAATAAAACCTCAGAAACTATTTTATTCTTTGATATATATGAAGAAAAAAATCTATTAGCTGTTTTTAATAAGAATTCTTCTAGAAATCCATTCATTGAAAGATTTTTAGATATTCATTTTGTAAATCATATAACTTTTTTGTATTAAGATAAATAATTAAAAATCAAATTATAATGTATATATATTATTATAATATATAATAATAATATTAACAAAATTTAACTATAAATAGAATTAAGACAAATAATAAGTATACTAACCATTTGAATTATTTGTTTAGTAGTATTACACTTTTTACTAGCTCTATATGACTTTTTTACAAAGTTCTTATGCAAAGTTTCATAAATTTCTGTTGTAAATCTATTAATAGCACCAAATTCTTTAATTGCTTCAATAGTATAATAATACCAATTATGCAATTTATATAGTCAAATATCTGATGGAGAATAACTCTTAAAATTTTGCACCCGCACACTATTTTCTTCCATGGGTAGGCCAAACACTTGTTCCTGGTATAATTTATTAATTTATTTAAAATTTTCTAGGCAAATTTGTCTAAAATACAAATTAAGAGATAATAGTTTGAATTGATAAATTTAATTGCAATTAATTTTTTGATCTAAAAAACATGTGAATTAAAAAATTTATTTTTTCATCACTGGCACAGGTGGTTTTGATTTTCTTTAACCAGCAAAATATTAACCAAATAGATACGTATGTACAGTAGTTATATTAAGTGCTATGTATATCCAAGAAATCGTAAAGTTGAATTCAATAAATCAAAGGATAATAATTGAGAATTAGGGATATCAGAAGGATTATCAGTAGATTTCCATTGCACGATAGGTTGTGGATGAACGCTATATGAAGAGACTTTCCCATATCTAACTACCTCTGAGAGAGAATAATCAACCGTCCCAAGTGGAACTTCAGGATCAAGCAGTTCTAAAAGCTTTTGAGCACCCGAATATGAAACAGCATAAGCATGCAAGCACATTGGAGCTACAGACTTATACAATCTATGGACAGAAGAACCTTTCCCGACTTGTTCACCCATAGATTCAAAGCAACTGCCTATGTATAACGTTTCCCAAGAAGGAGGTAGGTCATGATGAATATCAGTCATAATAGCAGTAATGTTAAGCTCGAAGTCCACATCATCTTCTAAAATTAAGGCACTATCGTATCCTTTATCAATAATTTCTTTATAGATTAAATAATGACTTAAATAACAAGCTTTTTGAGGAAGATCCATATCTCCGGACCCAAATCTATTGAGAAATTGTTCATCATTTTTTGAGACGGCAGAAAAATAATCAAAGTCTAACCCAAGGTAGGATGATATTTCATCTAATCTTTCACGTCTATCCGTTCGATAATCAAGGTGGATAACATAAATATGGTCAAATCCAAGTGTGCGATTAGCTATCCTAAACTCTTTTTGTAAAATTGGGTCTTTCGAATAATCGGAGTAATCAAACCATGGTCGGAGACAGAAACTTGAATATATTAGTATAATGATTAAGAAACTGATATATATTTTTATCGTATATGGGCCACTTTGGAACTGTTTTAAAGCAGTTATTAACGAATAACTCTGATTCATGTTATAATAATTTTTATTTGATAAATTTTAAAAGATTTGGCTTTTTTATACGTACGGAAAAGCCTCAGACCCATAAATGTACTTTTTTATTTTTTTTCTAAATGCATGTTGTTCGGTCCTTGTATAATGTTTTTAGAGAGTAAATTAATGTACATAGGTTAATATCACTTCAAAACTCCTGTAAATTTTGTATAACATTAAAGCCTTTTTTTGGTATATTGATTACGTATTATAAAAACCGATTAATGAATAAGAGTCGATTGAGTCGTTAGCATCCCTATCCCCTTATCATTTATTCATTAATGGATTGGGCTGAAAAATGGGATATGCAGCATATCCCATTTTTCAGCCCAATCCATTAATGAATAAATGATAAGGGGATAGGGATGCTAACGACTCAATTAGAGGTGCAGACATATTGTCGTAACCTAATTACCTCAATAAAAATAATCTGTTTTAAAATAGGTCGTAACTGATTGCGACAATATGTCTGCACC